TCTTGAGAAACCTGTATAAGGGTCAAGAAGCGACAGTTAGAACTGGATATGGAACAACTGATTGGTTCAGCATAGGAAAAGGAGTACGACAAGGATGTATATTGTCACCTTGCTTATTTAATATATATGCAGAGTACATCATGCGAAATGCCGGCCTGGATGATTTGGAAGCCAGAATTAAGATTGCTGGGAAAAACATCAACAACCTCAGATATCCAGACGCCACTCTAATGGCAGAAAGTGAAGAGGACCTAAAGAGTCTCTTGCTCAGGGTAAAAGAGGAGAGCGCAAAAGTGGGCTTGAAGCTCAACATCACAAAAACTAAAATCATGGCATCCGGCCCCATCACTCCTTGGCAAATAGAAGGGGAAGTCGTGGAAGCAGTGATAGACTTCACGTTCCTGGGATCCCAGATCACCGCAGACGGTGACAGCAGCCATGAAATTAAAAGACGCCTGCTACTTGGGAGGAAAGCGATGGCGAACCTCAACAGCATGATAAAAAGTAGAGACATCACCCTGCCAACAAAAGTCCACATGGTCAAACCAACGGTATTCCCAGTAGTCATGTATGGCTGCGAGAGTTGGACCATAAGGAAGGCCGAGCGCCAAAGAAGAGATTCTTCTGAACTATGGTGCTGGAGAAGACTCTTGAGAGTCCCTTGGACTGCCAGGAGATCAAATCAGTCAATCCTAAAAGAAATCAACCCTGACTATTCCCTGGAAGGCCAGATCCTGAAGCTGAAGCTCAAATACTTTGGCCACCCAATGAGAAGGGAGCCCTCACTGGAGAAGAAGACCCTGATGCTGGGAAAGATTGAAGGTCAAAGAAGACGGGGACGGCAAAGGATGAGATGGTTAGGCAACGGACATGAAGTTGAGCAAACTCCGGAGCACAATGGAGGACAGGAGGGCCTGGCGGGATCTAGTCCGTGGGGTCGCGAAGAGTCGGACTCGACTGTGCGACTGACCCAGGTGGCCTAGGCGAGTGGGATCTTGTCATCTCTCGGAAGCTCAGCAGGTCCCGGCTAATACTCGGATGGGAGGACCAACAAGGGACGCCCAGGGTCATGACACAGAGGCAGGCCAGGGCCAACCACCTCTGGACGTCTCTGGCCTTGAAACCCCCACGGGGATTGGCGCAGGTCAGCTGAGACTTGACGGGCCTTTCCGCCACACTGAAGCGCCCGGTACCCTTCTCTCGAAGGACGAATCCATGGCCGCTTGCGTTAGAACTAGGAGCAAGCGGCTGGTTCGGAGCAGATGACAATCAACCCGCTGCTCAAACGTGTCGCAGTCATTCCCAAGAGGGAAGGAAAGAAGAAGAAGAAGAGATTGGATTTATACCCCGCCCTTCACTTTGAGTCTCAGAGTGGCTGACAATCTCCTTCCCCTTCCCCTCCCCACAACAGACAGACACCCTGGGAGGTGGGTGGGGCTGAGAGAACTCTGACACAAACGGCTCTTTGTCAAGGACAGCTGTGCCAGAGCTTGTGACTGACCCAAGGTCACATCCAATGTTCCCTCTAAGCTGTGGAATCTTGTGAGCAAAAATCCTACTTTGTGAGCTCCTGGCATCACAGTTGTAAGCGAGCCATTTGGCTGCTGCATAAATTAGTTTGCTCTGGAGCCCTCCTTCCTGAGCGGAGACAAAAACTGTGAGCTGGAGGCTAAAAAACTGTGAGCTCGCTCACTCTAACTCAGCTTAGAGGGAACACTGGTCACGTCAGCAGCTGCAAGCGGAGGAGTGGGGAATCAAACCCCGTTCTCCCAGATTAGAGTCCGCACACTTAACCACGACACCAAACTGGCACCTAATCACAGAAAAGGACACCACATCGCAGAAAGCAGGGACGTCCCGCCACGGACAAGGCGGTCTGGCTTCAGGGAGGCCAAGACAATCGACAGAGCGTCTCATTGAGAGGGAATGCCGGGCTTATTATTACAGAGGAGGCTCTGCCCGTTCTGTCAACACCGCCCAAGCCAAACGCCACACTCTCGCTATGGCCGTTCAGTCCAAGGCCAGCAAGCTCTTCTCCGGGGCCATAGCAAAACAGTGGAGGCGGAGGGTCCTCCTGAGCCCCAAATCTCCAGCCCACAAGCAGCCAAGATGCCACCAGGGCGATACCCTCCCGGATCCATCTCTGCTCTCTTGCATCCGCTTCTCTGCGACATTCCTCTGACAAGAGATGCCAGCGATTGCAGCTGGAGCAAAGGAGGGCCTGAAGGAGAGCACGCCGTCAACTCTTGGCGAGCCCATCCACAGCGGAGGCTGAAGAAGAAGAGGAGAGACTGGATTTGTACCCCACCCTTCACTACCTAAAGGAGTCTGAGAGAGGCTTACAATCTCCTCTCCCTTCCCCTCCCCACAACAGACACCCTGTGAGGTCGGTGGGGCTGAGAGAGCTCTTTCGAGAACCGCCCTTGAGAGGACAGCTCTGAGAGAACTGTGACTGACCCAAGGTCACACCAGCAGCTGCCTATAGAGAAGTGGGGAATCAAACCCAGTTCTCCCAGATTAGAGTCCACACCTGCTTAAGCTTCCAAACTTGGCCTAGAGAAGGTGCCCAGTCCCATTTCCGGAAACTGGGAAGAGCAGGGTAGGGAGGAAGTGGGTGGTTTGAGTGACAGCAGGACACCAAGGGGGAGGGAGCCTAGCCAGCTACTTGATGACCAAAAGCAGTAGGACCTGATTCCAAAAAGCGGTTGCCTGTTAAGGGCCTCGCAGTCCAGTTCTTTTCTGGACACGATGTGTGGCTAAGCCTGTTGGGGGAGAACAGACAGGGATTCCTCCCCCCCCCCCTTTGGGTACTGATCTGTATTCTGTAACCCTGAACTGGTGGCCGTCCAGAGGACAAACTGCTTTATCTGCTGGGAGTTTGCTCCCAGGGCATAAAAATATTAGCACAATGTCAAGGACGGTGTATTCTCTGGCAATTCCCTTGGCAATGTCTCTTGCTGCCAGCTTCCCTAAGAGAAGTCTGCTCTCCTCTCCCCTGATCTTCCAGGGGTCATTTGTGGCATCCAAGCTGCTAAGCGGAATGACAAGGACAGCTTGTGGAAGAAATGGAGTACGGAGAGGCTGCTGCGAAGAACTGGGAAACCTTCATTGTCCAAGGCAAGATGCGCTCAAGGAACTTGGGTGCATTCAGAAAGTGCTGAACCAAGCCAGATTCTTGCCCTGAAAGTTCTTCAGAGCCCTACCCTGCTACACTGGACCCTCAATTTTCCTAGCAGATCTCCTTCCATGCCCTTTACTTCTCCAACCCTACCCCGCTCCACTACTCAACGGCAATCTCCACTCGGCAACCGTCTCCCATTCCCTCTGCTACCTGGAGCTCCTTCTGCGGGGACTTGCATGTAGCACTTTGATTAGAGAAACCCGGATTCAAACCCCTCACGCTCAGCTGTGAAACCCACTGGGGGTCCTGGGCCAGTCCTCAGCCAAGCCCACCTCACAGGGCTGTTCTGAAGCCCAAGTATGGGGAAGAACCCTGGACGCCACCCCGCGCTGCTTGGTGAAAGGGTAGGCCAAGCCTCAAGTTCTCACTGGGCCCCAAAATCTAAGAACTGCTGGCCTCTTGACACTCTTGGCATAATTCACTTCTGAAGGCTGTCTGAAAGAGCAGGCGCAGTGGGGGAGTGTGGTACCTGCTGCCTCGAGCTTCTCAAAGAGAGGAGGAGGAAAATAGGCATCAGAATACTCCCTAACAAAACCCACTTCTCCACGGACTCCTGCTGCACCCAAATTATATTTCATCACAAGCACACACGTTGCCTAACATTTACCATCGTTCCTGTCCCGCCTCATTACATTTCAAGAATCCTGGGAAACAGGCCTTGGCTGGGAGAGCCCAGGCAAGCCCTATCTCGGGAGCTCAGCAGGGTCGACTCCGGCAAGTCCTTGGATGGGAGACCTCCAAGGAGTACCAGCACTCGGGAGGCGGGGGCAGGCTTTACTCAGACACCTCTCTGAATATCCTTCAGGCCCCCAGTAGGGGTCTGTCACCAGAGGTCGCCATGACTTCCAGTGCACACGTGCACACACACATATGAAAAATACAAAATCAAAACAAAAATGCTAGGAAGAAACAGGAAGAGCTGACACTCCCTCCCGGACTCTTCAAAAGCAGATGGGGACCTGGGTGTGGGGTCTGCCTTTCTTCGTCCTAAGCTAAGGTAGTTTTTGGGAATCCATCTGCCGGTTGCAGAGCTACAACACATCTTGTAGAGACGTGCAAAATATACTCACAAAGAACCTGAGCTCTAAGAGCATCCGAGAGGCTGCTTAAGCTTTGCAAGACGTAACTCGGCCTTCAGAGAGTCCCCCGTTTTAAGCAGAGTTCACACGTGAAGCTCTGGCACTCCTGGGGGAAAGAAGAGAGCGGTCTCTGACGTCTAGACCCGGATGCTTTCCAAAACCAAGCCCTTGATCCAGACAAAGAGCACATGCATTTCCTTTGTGAGTAAACATGCTACTGCAATTGGTGTTTTCGCAAGGGTGACCCTTATACCGGGCCAGGGACATGCAGGGCACTGCCCCAGGAGAAGTCAGAACGGGGGGACTGGTTTTGAGACTAGGGCTTGCAGCTTCTAGTACAGTGTGGCTACCAAAGTGAGAAGTGGCCTGTAATGACCCGGACTCCTCCCCCAATGGGAGTCCCTAACAGGTATGTAGGAGCATGCGACCCCCCCCCCCACACACACACCACAGCGCTGTCCTGGGGAGGTTCTTTGTAGCCAGCAAGGGGGGATATTATGGACACCAAAGCAGCAGTTAAAGAGCATGAGTTCAAAGCTTACAACACAGACACAAACTCACCCGTTCAATATGGGGATTGCAATGCCGACCTACCCTACAGGGCTATCGTAAAGGTTAATGAGAAAAGAGCAGCCAGTAGGAGTCAGCATTTTGAACTTGGAACTAGGATCACAAAGATCTCTACTCCACTATGAAGCTCACGCGGTAAGCTTTGGCCAGTTGTACGTTCTCAGCGGTGAAGGTAAAATGGGCAGGGGGATCCCAGGTATGACCCCCGTGCTCCTTGGAGGCAAGGCAGCTCACGCACGTGATAAGATTCCAGACGGGAGAACGCCTCATCTACAATAGCATTTGCCCTTTCCAAGTTTTGAACGTAATTTTAAACAGTTTAAACATCTGCCGCCTGATTAATGGGGGCATCGTTTCAGTCCATCCAACCCCATTCATCCAACTGCCTAACCATTACTGCCCCCCTCCCAGTGCCTGCTGACAGATAATATTATGGGGCACTGGAGCGCTCATATTCACCTGATATGAGGCATGGGGTTTGATCGGGCCATTGATTGTTTTATTGCTTTTACGGCTTTATTATTTTACTACATGTTGTAAGCCGCCCTGAGTGGGATAGGGCAGGGTATAAATTGAATAAATAAATAAGTAGCCTAACCTAATAACTGGGAGCTAGGGAAGAAAGTGGTGTGGAGAAGGAATTGCAGGCCCAGAGGAGTCCCTGGTCCGAATCTTGCTTCTGCCACATAACCCACCCCCCTTAAGTAAGCTGCTCTCTCTCGGCCTCGGTTTCCCACCATCTACAATATGGGGATAATACCAGTGGCATGTTTGTTCAGGCTGTTGTAAGGATTGCCAAGGTAGTTTTGTGTCGTGGTTAGGAGCGCGGACTCTAATCTGGGAGAACTAGGTTTGATTCCCCACACCTCCACAGGCAGCTGTGGGGTGACCTTGGGTCAGCCACAGTTCTCACAGAGCTGCTCTTTCGAGCAGTTCTCTCAGAGCTCTCGCAGCCCCACCTACCTCCCAGGCAGTGTTCCCTCTAAGCTGAGTGAGTGTGAGCTAGCTCACAGTTGTTTAGCCTCCAGCTCACACATTTTTGTCTTAGCTCAGGAAGGATGGGGCTCCAGAGCAAACTGAATTATGCAGTCGCCAAATCGCTCGCTCACAACTTTAATGCCAGTAGCTCACAAAGTAGAATTTTTGCTCACAAGAATCCACAGCTTAGCGGGAGCATTGCTCCCAGGGTGTCTGTTGTAGGGAGGGGAAGGGAAAGGAGATTGTAAGCTGCTCTGAGACTCGTTCAGGTAGTGAAAGGTGGGGTAGAAATCCAAACTCCTCTTCTCTGTTCATCTCTGAAATTCTTTAAAGAAAGCTGTTCTATAATTTGAGACCAACCTCTCTCTAAGGTGCTACTGGACTCAAATCTAGCCGTTCTTCTCACGAC